ACTGGTTACATTGTTAACTGTCTTATGAATGCTGGGAACTGAAAGGCCATCCTGCCTGAGCAGCCAGTGCTCTTGACTGAGCCACCTCCCTGGCCCCCATAACTTCATACTTCAAACCTATATATCTTTAAAGAACCTTTAAATTTAAGATTTTAGTTAATGGATCCCTTGAGAAAGTTTATGGAAGAAAATAAAAAATAAAAATAGAACCATTCAGTATCTTATTGATGTTTTTTTTTCTGTTTTCTAAGCTATCTGATTTTCTTGTAACTCTCTTTCTACTGGTGGTTGTGTCTTTTAGGACTTAAGCACAGATTGTCTGAAAATATCGGATCGCCTGAGCTCGTTGGAGCAAGAATTGTCGGAGAAAAGTTTGCAACTTGAGAGCTGCACAGCCGAGGAGAAAACAAAGATCTCAGAGCAGGTTCAGGCACTCCAGAAAGAAAAGGATCAGCTCCAGCGACAAAGGGACAGTGTGGATGAGAAGCTTCAGAGTGGCAGAGTGCTGTCCCCCAAAGTAAGTCAGTACTCCTTGGAGCTGGAGCTGTCCTATGACGAATGATGTGGGTCACGTGATCATAAACCTGATAAACCGTTCTGTGTCAGCTAATGAGTTCATCTGGCGTCTGTGTGGTATTGTAAGCCATGCTTGGGGAGACAGATGTCCTCACAGAATGGCATTCCGCATGGACCCTCCTGGACCGCCAGGCACTAGAGAATCCACGCGTCCCTTGAGTGTGGCACTAGGAAACCAATACTCAACATCCCTTGTGCATGCCTCCTCAGCTGATTCTCACCTGAAATCACAGATCACAGGAAAGCCTCTCCCATTCGTCTTTCAAGGAGAGCACATTACCTGTTTTTCCTCTCTCACATTTTGAGGGATGAGCCCATGTGCACAAACCATGGTGTGTTGTGGGGTCAGGACAACGTGGAGGAGTCAGCTCTCCCTTCTTACCATGTGGGACTCAAGGGTCAGGCTTGGCCCTCCACTCATCTGTTACCTGGGTAGTTCACTTACATAAAACATGCCTATGACATTGAGAGTTAATTCTTTCTATAGAAACTTGACTGAAAAAAAAGGCTGGTTTTTCAGAGAAAATTCTCCACCATTCAAATGAAAATACAAATTCCAATAAGATACCTTCCAGTTAGAGTTTTCATCTGAGAGGTCATATAGCTCTTCCCATCTGGTTTTGGTTTTGGATTTTTGAGACAGGGTTTCTTTGTGCTGCCCTGGTTATCCTGGAATTAGCCTTGAACTCGAGATCCACCTGCCTCTGCCCGCCAACTGCTAGGATTAAAAGCATGCACCATCACCACCCTTGCTGTTTTCTTTTTTATGTAAGAATTGATTCATTCATTGGCTGTCAATGAATGAATTGACTTGGTCCTTTAGAACATGTTTTATTTCAGTGGGAAATGATCCTAATGTCCTGAAACTTCTCTCCGAATATTTATCGTTATGGCCCATCATTGCCAAAGCAAGGGCAGCTGCCGAAAGAAGGTGAACTTCAGGAGCCTTGTGCCTTATGTGTTAGCCAGGGCAAGAGGGGGCATTAGAGGAGCTCCTGATGAAACAGCTGGAAGGGTACCATGTAAGTCTCCTGTAAATCCAGTGTTGAATGAACTGATGAAGGGAATTCAGGCTACCTTAGACAGCAGTCTGTCAGCTGAAGGGACACATCTGTTCACTATTTTATGACTTAGAGCCCCTAGAGCTCCGAACTTTCAGATAAGCACCTAAACACAGCAAGCTTTAAGGAATTCTGTCTGCCCAGGACCGCTACTAGGAAAACATTTAGAGGAAAACAAAGCAAGCCAACTGCTAGGTTGTGTTTCTCCTGAGAATCCATATTCTCATGGGGAAGATGGACATATTAGAAACTGAATCCCTAAAGAACATTAAACAGATGATTATGGGTGCTGTAGTAAAGCTATAGTTACATTATCTACACACAGTAGTGCAGGGGTCATCTGGGAAAGCTGTCTTAGTGCTGCCATGGTTGATTGCAACTCTAAGTTGGATTTTGAAAAACATGGTGAATGTTTTGATAGGGCCATTACGAGGTAGAGCAGCCGGAAGTGAGAAACCTGTTTGCAGAGGGCAGAGCCCCTTGCTAGTAGACAGTGAAACCGTGGTAGTTAGTACGTACCCACATCCTAGCATTTGGGAGGCCGGGTGCAAGTCAAGGCCAGCGACCTGTGAGGTCGCTCTCACAGGAAATAGCTTCTGTTCCCTGTGGAATTCTGTGGCAGAACATTGGCAACACTCCCTGAACAATACCATCCCAGGTGGAACCCAGCAGGGTTCCGCTGAGCCTTGCAAGCTTCTCTGGCTTTCTTTGGTGTAGTGTGGTAGTGCCTCTGCTCTCTCTGCTGTGTTCTAAAGCCAAGGTCAACACTCTCAATAGGTCGCCAGTGGCGCATTATCAGAAGGAGATTCTAAAGTGACCAGGACGTGAAAAGGTATGGGATAGCTTGCAATTTTGATGTTTTTAAATTGCCTCAAATTATTTTCTCTTTTTACAGTCATTATTTTTCTAATTATATTGTTTACAATAAATGATAGACATTAGATCATTTTAGTAGCAGATTGCCCAACAATTCATTGGAAACAAAACACTTCCATTTTTTGATGAAATACAAAAATTAAAATTTACATATTTGAGACTGGGTGGTGGTGGCACACACCTTTATTCCCAGTACTCAGGAGGCAGAGGCAGGCAGATCTCTGTGAGTTCAAGGCCAGCCTGGTCTACAGAGTGAGTTCCAGGACAGCCAGGGCTTCACAGAGAAACCCTGTCTCAAAAAAACAAAACAAAAAAATTAAAAAAAAAGGAGGAGGAGGTCAAAGTCTCTTAGGGCTGGAGAGATGGCTCAGTGGTTAAGAGCACTGGCTGCTCGTCCAGAGGACTGGAGTTCCCAGCACCCGTTTCAGGTGGCTTGCTGTCACTTGTAACTCCAGCTCCAGGGGAACTCATGGAACCATCTGTCCTATGGGAGTACCTGCACACATGTGGCACACACACGCACAGACATGTACATACATATAAATGAAAATGAAAACACGAAGTCCAAAGTCCCTTAACTCTGGGCTGCTGCGGAATAAAATTACACACTTTCCTTCTACATCGTTCTCTAAACTGTGGTCAGGTCCATCACAGCAGCTTTCCTCTGCTGCCAGTCTCTGTGCTGGCTTCCTTTCTGCCGCTAGTAAAGCCAAGCAGCTCCGGGAAGGAAAGGTTATTCAGCTCACAGGTCACAGCCCTTCACTCAGGGAAGTCAGGACAAGAGCATGAGAAAGAACTTGAAACAGAGAGATGCAGGAGCACTGCTTGCTGGCATGTGTGCAGGCTGGTCCTCTGCTCGCTTTGTAGATAGCCCAGACATGTCAGCAGTCAAGACAGTCCCACACAGGTCTATCCCCAGGTCGGCCTTGTCTCAGAAACCCCTGCTTAAGATGACCCTCTCAAGTGACTCGCGGTGTCAGGCTGACAGATCTAACTGGGAACATGAGAACTAGATCTGTTTCGGGTGCCAGCTAACCTCTCACCATCCTCCCCACTTATAGTTTTGCTGACCGTTGTTCTACTCCCCACTTGTAGGTTGTCAGGTTTTTTTAATCTTGCTCAAGTGTGTTGAAAATGCTTCGTCTTCATTTTTCTGTACGAGGCTTATTTTATTAACGCTTTGTATAGCTACCATGTTGCTGGAGATGACAAGATGAATGAGGACGTTTGCTAATAATTCAGAGCTGTTCTCTAGTAAGTGGTGTACAGGAAGAAAATATAGTAACCTTTATGTCTATTCTGCCTTTTAAATTTCAGTTCCTTCTTTATTATATAAACATTCTTTCATCCCAAATGCACATATAACACAATACTCGCATGAAAACGTTTGTTAGTCTTTTGTTTTACTTCTTGATTGAGAGTATTTAATTTAAAGACTACTTCTTTAGGCCCTTGTTCTCGGGGAAGCTATTAGAAAAGTAGGTCCTTAGGACTCACCCTACCTGCTCTCTCAGAATCTTTATCAACATCTTCAGTTCAGATGAGAGTTTAAAAGTGTGTGCTGTGACGGTGTACCGCGGCCACTTACCTTGAGTTAGAGGGACCCACAACTGTGGCTGGTAGTCATTGTATTTTCACCTCTTCACTCTTTAAAGTTTCATGTGGGGTGTGTGTGTGCACGTGAACGTATCCACTTACACGTGTATGCGCGTACATGCATGTATGCCATTCCGCATGTACGGAGGTCAGTGGACAGCTGGGGAGTTGGTTCTTTACTTTTGTCATGTGGATACCAGAGAACAAGCTTGAGTCAGGCTTGGCAGCAAAAGCCTTTACCCACTGAGCCATGTCATTGGCCTGTGGGCAGTAGGTATTTAGAGTGGTGGTCTCAGGATTCCATAGTTATAATACCTCATGTTTTCTTAGCCATTCCTTAACTTATATCCAAAACTATGAAAACTAAAATTATGCTAAATAGTTCTCAGCACACCTTTGATATTTGTGATAAAATATGAGTATCAATTAAAAAGTCAGACTGTTATCTTTAGATAACTCACTTCTATTTCTAGGTTCCTTTTCTTCATTCACCTGAGAACCTCTCAGGAGTATTTAAGGTGGTTTTCTTTCTTCTGAAAAATGTGATTGTTGGGGCTGAAAAGATGGCTTCAGTGACTAGAACCTGGGTTCAGTTCCCAGCACCCACATGGGACAGCTTGCAGCCGCCTGTAACTCCAGCTCCAGTCCAGCCAGTATCCTCCAGTATCTTCGTCTGGATTCTGCAGGGCACCTGCACTCACGTGCACAGACAGTACACAGATATACCTAATTTCAACGTTGTAAAAATTAATCTCTCAAAATATCATTTTGTTTATTTTGGAACAATTATTATATAATCAAAGGATGGTTAGCCTAGAGAAATGGCAATTGAATGTTTTTCCCCAAATTGTTCTCCCAGAAGATTTAATAAGATGGCCTTTTAAGGATACGCTCGGTGTCGCGCCCCACAAACCGTACTCCTTAAGAATCGGCTACCTCTGCTTTGTTGTCGATCTTCTCCGCCAATCATGCTGGAACATCTGAGTTCGCTGCCCACCCAGATGGATTACAAGGGGCAGAAGCTAGCTGAACAGATGTTTCAGGGGATTATTCTTTTTTCTGCAATAGTTGGGTTTATCTACGGGTACGTGGCTGAACAGTTTGGGTGGACCGTCTACATAGTTATGGCCGGATTTGCTTTCTCGTGTTGGCTGACACTTCCTCCGTGGCCAATCTATCGCTGGCATCCCCTGAAGTGGTTACCTGTTCAAGACTTAGGCACCGAAGACAAGAAATCAGGGGACAGAAAAGTTAAGAGACATGCTAAAAATAATTGATGTGAGCTTTCACGACTCAGCGCCAGCTTTCGTTTCCTGTAAAATGAGCTGAATGGCTTTCATAACCAAAACGTGAGCTGTGTAGAGATCCAGCTGTGCTTGTTTCTTTCTCATCCAGCTGGTTTTAAATTACAGCTATTTTATTCCATCTCTTCATAATCTTGCCATGGAGATTAAAAAAAAAAAAAAAGATGGCCTTTTAAAGTGAGTGCTCGACTTCCTGCTAGATGAGGTCGCTATCTGATTCTCGAGTCACTGAAAAGCCCTCAGAAGAGGTGGGAAAAATAATCAGACATACGAAAATTTTAAATTTTCATTAAGTTCAACAAACAGTTTACACCATGTGATAAATACCGTGCTGAGCAGATGTGCGTGTGGACAAAGCCGTCTTCCTGGAGAAGCTTGCTCTGGGGACCTCAGTGCAGACACAGGACACAGAGACAGCCACCTCTCTGTCACCAGGGATCCAAGTTCCCCTCCTTCCTTCCGGATAGCCTTAATCTGGACAACTCAAAGGCCGGTTTTCTGTTCTGACACACGCTGTGTATTATTATCTGATGCTATGTTGCCACCATTTAAAATAACATTGCATAAGAGGTTTTTTTTTTTTCTCAGAAGGGGGTTAAAACAGATCTTGAACTCATGATTCCCCTGCTTCAACCTTCCAAGTGCTGGAGTTTTAGGCAAATGCTTCTACAGTTGGTTCATTTCATAGGAGTCCTGGGAGGTGTCCCAGTCCCGAGTCCTGACTACTCTGTCACCTCTGCTCCTTTTCTTCCAGACTCTGCTGGTCGCTAGTTCTCAGCCGCTGGCTCCCAGTGCAGTGTCCCCTCCTCCTGACCTAGCACTGTCTGCTCTGCCAGGTCTTTGGAGGTACAACACTACCCCCATCATCAGTGGGGATTCTACCTTTAAATGCACTTGAGGACTATAGGGAGATGTCAGTATTGCAGATTCTGTGAGCTGAGATCATGTTCAGGTGTATCCTCTGGATTAGGTAGTCAATGTTTGCTGCGTAGCCTTGGAACATCATGGAACACACTTAGCTTTTGTTTCTTCCATTTTGTTATGTAATGTTTGTGGTGGAGATTTGACATCTCTGTTATACACTGACAAGTGACCCATCCTACGGTGAGAGTCGGAATAGTTCCTTAGATGGAGAGACTATCACATGGTAAGACCCGAGGTAAGCATACGACAGAGTTCAGGCTATAACTGTTTTTAAGATAAATGCTCTCTGTGGTCCCTAGGAAGAACATCTTCTTTTCCAACTTGAAGAAGGAATAGAAGCTTTGGAAGCCGCAATTGAATTCAAGAACGAAAGCATCCAGAGTCGCCAGAACTCGCTTCGAGCATCATTCCAGACGCTCTCTCAGAGCGAGGCAGATGTCGTGGGGAAACTAGTTTGCCTGAACCTTACCGAGATCAGAGCTATTCTTTTCAAATATTTTAAAAAGGTATGTGTCCAAGGAACAATACTTTTCTTACAAAAGAGGGCCAGAGACCCTTATTTATTCTGAACTAAAAGTGCCTGGCTGGAAGAGCTGGCGGTTGACTAGCCTTAAGCACCGTTGTTCTTTATGGTGCTGAGCATGTTCAGAACCGCTGTGAATTATCCAGATACACCTAACTTTGTGAGGTGGTTAAAACTGAAGTCCCCTTGATAGGAGGTCTTTCTTAGACAAATTAATTTATATACTTCTTTATTTCTTGCTTCTAAACATAAATGCTATTCATGAGAAGTCTAGGGTCCTGCAGCTTGTCTCTCCTCCATCGCTGTGAATAGGAACCTGGTGTGTTTCCGACCATGATGTCTGAGTTGACTGGAGACGAAGTGGTGCTCTGGTGGCCATGACAGTAGCAGGTTTTATTAATCTGGATTGCTTCATCAGGTTATCTTACAGAGCTGGCAGTTTTCTGATACTGGGATACTTTGTATCACTGAGAACTATATTCTTATTTTCTCTATTATTTTTTCATTTAAAATATGTACCATTTTCCCTAAAAATATATTGAATTAGTGAGAATATCCAACAGTTGATACAAAGTAAGACAAATACTTTTTCAAGGTGTAGTTGTGTAAAATAGAAAGTGAATGCAAAACTCAGCATAGTGGTGCACACCTTTAATTCCAGCACTCGGGAGGCAGAGACAGGTGGATCTGTGAGTTCGAGGCCAGTCTGATCTACAGAGCAAGTCCAGGGCAGCCAGGGATACACAGTGAGACTGTCTTGAAACAGATGAGTGAAAATATTAGTCAGTCTCCTGTTTGAGAGTCCTGTCAGGATCTACTGCACAGACACTGTCCGCGGTGCTCTGTTTCCTATGGCACAGCAGACTACAGCAAACACATGCATGGCCTGAAGGGGAACCGCTGTGCTTCAGGGACAGAGTGGACGCTGCAAGAATAAACGCATCCCCAATATCCATACGGACTAGAGGAACAGAGTTACAGAATTATAGCCAGGCATGCTGGCACGTGACTATATATTCCTAGCACTTAAGAGACAAGTTCAAGGCCAGCGAGGACTATATAGCAAAAACCATGTCTCTAAAATAAAAAGCAAGCAAGAAAGAGAATTATAAAATTTGAACTCAGAGATCTTATCTAATAAGTTTTATTAGTACAATATTATGTTGAAAATGAAAATATTACCAGTTCAGAATTCCAACAAATTCAAAAGGTTATTAGGCTATTTTCTAGTTATGTTTTAAAACATTTGCCATGTATCCTACACCTTTAAAAGGCATTTAAGATAAGCTCCAACTTCATGTAGTCCAAGAAAACTAGACTAATCTATTGTGTCAGACAACGTAAGATACCTTCTTAAAAGGTCAAAAACCGTCTTTGATAGGTGATTAATTTGCGAGAAGCTGAACGCAAACAGCAGTTGCAGAATAAGGAGATGAAGATGAAAGTTCTGGAGCAGGACACTCTGATCCACGAGTTAGAGTCTGCCCTGGAGCACCTGCAGCTGCAGTGTGACCGGAGACTGACCCTCCAGCAGAAGGAGCACGAGCAAAAGATGCAGTTGTTGTTAAATCACTTCAAAGGCAAGTCTTTGGGGGTCGGCTGGGTTAGGGGTGTGCTGAGGAAGGGAGCCAGGCCCCATGTCATCTCCTTTACATGCGTGGCTACCGTGTTTTTTGTCATTTGGTATAAGATGACCCATGCTCGAAGTGTCGCCCCCTTTGCCTGCTCCCAGCACTAAAGAAGGCCTATAATCCTGGTGGGTGGTTGTTGGTCTGACCTTTCCATGTGCAGACGAAGTGATAAGATTCTGTTGTAACTCCCGACTTTATTTCTTGTTACAACTTTAGTTGATTATAAAATTTTATGCATTAAGGTTAGATCATAGATCAAAATTGATGGGTACATATCATAATACTAGTGGCCAGCAGCGGTCCAACAGCAGATTCTGGTGCAGGAGAGCTATCACAGTAGTCTGGCCTCACGTTACCTGAGGAGGACTGGTGTCCAAGCAGGCGCTGTGGCAGCACAGACCTTGCTAGCTGAGCCTGCTTCCGCTCTAATTCAGGCTGCTCAGCCCTGACATTCATGATCACAGAGCTGCGATTGGTTGAAGGGATTTGAAAGAAGGAGAAAATTGGAAAACATAAATCTGGGTCTTGAGGAAACGACAGCAGGTTAACTCTACAGTGTTCGTGTCTCTGCACAGTGAACAGGACTTCCCTGGGCCAGTCCCACAACCACTGCACTCAGACACACCCCTCCTCTCTGTAGTCATGTCTAAGAGTGAGAGCGGAATAGAACGCTGTTGTTTTGAGATGACTGGGGTCACACAGCAGTAATTCATAGCTCACTTGGAAGAGTGCTTACAGATCATGCGTGAAGCCTGGGTCCATTACTAGCACCTCTTATTCTCATGATTTTCATGATGCTGTGTCTCAAGAAATCAATAAAAATCAAATTGTTTCTATAGTTATGCATACAGATTATACACAATAGCTATAGTTATAATTATTAGCAATTTGAGAATTTCCTAATTTCAGCTTATTCATATGGGAAATTAAGCTGATAAGGTATATGGCTTTTGGTTGGTTGGCGTTTTTGGTTTTGGTGCTCAAGACTAGACCCTGGGACCTTGCATGTCAGGTTTAAAGCTAGATGATGGGCTAAATAAGATAGAAGAATAGCAAAAGAAGATGGAAACCAATTTTTTATATGTACTGTACAAAGGAGGGTGTAAGTCTGGAAGTGTTTTCTGAAGGTCAGAAAACTAGATTTTATCATTGTAGAACAATGGTACACAGCTCGCCCCCCCCCCCATTCTGTAGTGTTTTTTCTTTGTTATTTAACCTTTCTAGACTCATTACTAACAGCTTTTCTGTTTGTGGGTTTTCACTGTGTATTTCTTCGGCCTATAACCCAGGCATATAACTTTCCATAGAGCCACAGTCTGACGTAAGCCCCAGGCCATATGGGTAGAGGTATGCACGCTTGAGCTGTTTTCTGGAGGATGCCCGTTTCTGCTCTTGATAAGTCGTCTCAGTAGCCAAGGCAAAGGCGCCAAGGCGGGGCAGGAAGTGGCTGGCAGAGAGTAGGTAGAGAAGGGAACGAAGGGATCGATCCTTTGAAGAAAGTTGTATAGCAAGAAGAATCCTTACTATGGCTGCGGAAATCCCTTCAGGCAACAGATCCATATAAATGCTTCTGGCCCTTTAATGTGAGTCTGGAGCTATCTGAGCTATAGTTTTGAGTCATTTGTGTAAGCCAAGGTTAAATGTCAATTTTTGCTTTGTATAGAGCAAGATGGAGAAGGCATTATAGAAACCTTTAGAAAATATGAAGATAGAATCCAGCAGCTGGAAAAAGATCTTTACTTCTATAAGAAAACCAGCAGAGATCTTAAGAAGAAACTGAAGGAGACTACCGGAGGAACGTCCCCATGGCGGCTCTCACTAGCAGAGCGTAAGGCTTCAGGTGTTACCTGCCGTGCTAACCCTGCCTCCCCTCCCAGACCTCTGCTGGGGTCACTTCCCAAGTGACAAGTTGTTTAGGGGAGGTACTTAATTTACCTCTGTAGACAAACTGTTTACAGAAGTGCTGGGGAATTGAACGTGTGTGTGTGTGTGTGTGTGTGTGTGTGTGTGTGCGCGCGCGCGTGTGTAGAGTCATAATGTT